CTAGTCAAAGACTATTACAAAGGGGAGCTGTACAGATGTGTTCAGGATACACATTGTACAATTTAATAGGTCTCTTCTATTTCTGATTTCAGTAATTCCCTGAAATATTTATGGCCTTGCCAGAACAATAAACACACAAGTTACCTCTTTAGTTCTCATTATGCTGCTCCTTCCCAAGCAGCTCTTCTAGTGAGGAAGAAAAGGTACATTTCCAGTTTATTACTGAAAGACTATTACAGGTATGGTGTCCCCCCAGTGCAGAACTGTCCTCTCAAATATGACATTTCAGGAAATCAGTTTCTCTTTCTGACACTAGAAGTATAAAAATACCCAGCAGCATGAGTTTCAGCAAATGCTAGCAACCAGACAAGAGTCTCGGAGTCGAGGACTTGCATTTTGATATTCAGCCTCTGCAAATGCATCTTTAATATCACTGACCTAATTAACAAAAGGCAAGTTATCCAGCGTACACCTACCCATCTGGATTTTGATGTACAAACATGAACCGAAACAGGGGGAGGAACAGCCCACGACTACACGTCAGCTTTTCCAGAACTCTCCTGACGAACTATAGCCAATTATCTGAACAAAATTATAGCACTGTTGGATCTTTAATTTTAAGAACAAAATAGTAATAATGTATGTAGCATTAATTCTGTTGTAACAAACACACACACCAGGGCTGCAACAAATAAGAAAAATGAGTACTTAACAATATTTGCTCTTCTCAAAAGAGGAAAATTATTATTTCTGAAGACTTGCTATTCTACCCTGTAACTTTGTTCCATCCACACCGTCAAAGGAACAGGAAGGGACAACACTTTGCTGAACATGGAACGGTGTTGGCAATTGACTGCAGTATAGTTAAAAAAAAATAAACTGAAGAAATGGATAGATTCTGTAATATCAGTTTTTAATGCCTGAGATGCAAGACTTTGTCTGTGGTCCAAAAACCAAAAGCAACTGAACTATCAAGAGAACGAGCACTAATGGATGCTGACCACCAGCAGCTTCCATCACCTTCCTTTCACAGACAGTCACCATGCAAGGAAAACGAACACAAAAACCGGGCAACTGAACTTCTGCCGGTAAGATCTTCATAATCAAATGTATAGTGACTACTGTGACTGGTAAGATCAGCATCAGTAAGGTGAACTGGACTTTCAGAAGCCTTACTAATTTGGGGATCTTTTTTTCAGCAGGATTGCCATGTGTCAGAGCCCAGGCTGACAACAGATTAAAGGAACACGATGGGAAAAAATAGTTCAAGATGTACTGCCTGAGTTCCTGCCAGAGAAGCAGGCTTCAGAGCACTTAATGGATCCTGATGACTGGGATTATATCAACAAGAGCAAGATTGTATTTTTGGATAGAAATTTCAGAGGCAGAGTGAGGAAATTAGCAGTCAAAATACTTGAAAGCTGCATTATGCTCATGCACATCTCAAAATGCCGACTGCCTGCTATTTTATGAAGAGATAAGTGTGTTCCAGGGTTAATCAGATTTTGGCCATTACCAGTACCAAGTGTATTTCTTTTCTAATTTTGTATAGAAAAGAAGAAGATGCTTTCTCAATTCTTTTTAGCCTGATTTGCACCATATGGACTACTAAGTGCAGCCAGCAACTACTTTTAAGTGTTGCAGTTCTTTCACCGAGGCATTATTATCCTTTGTACGATGAAAGCAATTTTCTTTATGTCTTCAGGAGATGCTGGTATTCTGCAAAGCAGAAAGGCCTCTCAAGACTTAGTTTCTAAAAATAGCTTACAGTCTTTCAAGAAGATGAAGGATGAATCTTTCAAGGGATGAGCGTGATTATTCTGTTTATTACTTTCTTATTTGCATTTCTGGATCCTGAGGATCCTGTAGTAGTAAGCCCTGGAAAACAAGTTGGTTTTCGTTTTTTCCTTTTTCTTAAACAGTCCTCACTTGAAGAATCGCCAAACTGATTTCACAGAGCTGTCATTCAACCTACAAAGCTGAAAACAGATCTGCAGCATTATCACAAGGCAATATGTACTTGGAGACTTTCAGGAATACACTGAACTTCTTTAAACCTCTTCCCTCAGACAAAATGTCCTGCTGTTACAGAGGAAGAAGACAGTTTGTTTGGCTAATTCATAACTATGCCATTTTGACCTGTTTGTCAAGGATGATCTTTAACAAAGGAAGCAGTTTGCTTTTGGAAGAACCCTCCACATCCTTGTCTTTGCACCTAGACTTTGTTTCACATGTAAAGGAATCCAAAAGGTATTTTGGTTAGGGCTCCTTTACTTCACGTTGGACAAAATGAAGCAAACCCTGAAAGAGAAAATCTATTTAGAATGTAAAATATATCATGATGGTTGCCCAGCTATGCATTTTTATCCACTTAGCAATCTCAAAACTATTCACTCCAATTCTTTAAGAATTCATTAACAAATTATTACGCGGTGAGCATCTTTCCAGCAAAAAGGAAAGCCTTCAGTCTGCAGTGTAATGTCCATTATACTTTTTTCTTTGACGTACCATATATCTATGAAATGCTACATACACAAGAGCCGCCTTTTTATGACAGCCCATCTGCAAGAAAACTCAAGATCACAAGGGGAACATTTTGTGAGAATCTGGCATAGAGGGCTGCAGACAGAACGCTATTAAATAGCATTAAATTAAATAGGCATACTCTGCCTTAACTACTTTTTTTTTGAGAGAGGGAGAGTGGGAAAGAGAGGGAGAGAGAGAGAAAGCAAGCAAGGTTTAAAGCTTTAATCTCATACACAAGCTCGTCAGAGCCCAAATCTATCTGTAATACTCTCCAAATCAGAATGAACTCAGAAGGATGACGTTCAATCTTTAAATCCTTCTCTGCAGGTCTATTTTTAACTCTCAGGTTCATCAAATGGATCCCTGCTATGGCTCCAGAGACTTCCAACATGTATCCCACCTATTATGTTGGACACAGCCACGTTAGAACTCGGTTGCATTTGGAACTAGAAGTCTTCCTCACGTGATTTCCTGTGTAGTGTGATGGAAACAACTCAGTGTGACAGAACCCTATCATTGTCACCGGTGGAAAACCAATTATCTCCTCTCCTGGCCCCTGTTATTCTTTTCACCTCCACCAATCACTCTAATTCTAATATTCTGGACACTTCTGAACAATTTTTTTATCTTCTTATTTTGCTTTCTTCTCCACAGAGTGACGTAAATAAGTTTTGTGTACATAATGCCAAAGAAGACATTTTTCATATCTTGAACCATTTCCTCAACAAATATATTTATTCTGTCCCTTTCTAAATTAATTCCCAAGCAACATACAAAGGATATTAAAACCTTTGATACAATGATTATTGTCAACTCTAATTCACCAGCTTTCCAAAAACTCCTGTAATGTGTCAGGCCATTTCTGTTTCATTTTTGCAAATCAATCCAGCTGAGCTGGATTACAACTAACATGTCTGCTCAACTATAGGTAAATAAGAATCATATAATAACCCACAGCTGTTTTCTAGATTTCCAACTGCATGCAGTTTATTACAGTAACTGGTCAGGAACTAGCATAATTTTTACCGACGGAAATAGATTTCTGCTAACGACCTGGGGATATACACGTATCTCCAAATGAAGCTGCAGGCTCCATTCACTCCCTGCAGCAGTAAAATCTTCATTAAGACACTATGTGATACACGTTCATGTAAATTCAGCAGAATAACATTTCATAAACATCCTGGTATGAAAAGAGACCATTACAGCCAGGAAACTCTGCTAGTTTTACACAATTCTGGAAATCTTCATATTCTTCATTTTGGTATTGATTTTCTGCTTTAAATTTTCCAGGAAAAAAAGTGTTCTCTGGAATAACTTTATTTTCTAATTAGAGTTTGATGAAGGTGTACAGTGAAGTGGCACTGTCCTCTGGTGTTATGAATGATTTATTCTACCAGTTCACATCCAATTTGAAATAAATATATCCATCATCTTTGCTGATGAACTGATACCAGATTTAAAAGCTCTGGAGGATTTGTTTCCTCAAGGGCACTTCCTGACTTCAAAACTCACACTTAAAAATCCTTAATAATAATGCTCTGATTTTCTAAAGATTTGCAGAAATCTTCTCACTCTGATGCATCCTTCACATCTTGGTAGAAAGATCTATATCCGAGTTATTAAAGCTTACATTCCAAAATCCCGTTGACTCAGACCGCATTCACTACGTTTGTTTAAAGCCAATCAAGGTTAATGGAAATTTTCCCACCAATGAGTTCCAGGTGGTCTTCTGAGCCGAGAAAACCCAGGTCTCCAGAATTGTAGCATCATCTCTAGAATGCTGCTTACTTCTGACTTCCTCCTAACATTTACAGCAAGAGTGAAAAAGCATGCAGTGAACGATCCTGGGATATCTGCTTAAAGTTCAGGAGGAAATGCACTTACGATTTTAAGGGCATTAATAGGGAAAACCACTTCTAACTCTAGACAGATACTAGTTTTTCCTCATTCTGCATTCTATATCAGACCTAGGAAGCACGGACTGAATCTTAAGCAGCCAGAATTAAGGCAGCTCGGTAATCTTGGAATGAAACGAAAAAACAACACAGTGAACAAAGTCTGCTGGGTGAAGCAGACAACAGAAAAGTGGCCAGACCACTGCAAACAGCCCCGTTGCAGGAGGAGGTTCTGTGGGTAGGGTAAGTTTAGGTTATGGTTAGGGTTAGAAAAACAAAGGGGGCAGCCCTTAGCAGCAGCAGCCCTTTTCCTGCTGCTGTAGCTCTTCCACCATTCTGAAAGGGATCGGTCTCCGGACCCCTCACCTACACCACAGCCCTAACCCCATCCAAACAGAACTCCTGCTCAGGATCCTTCTTCCACTTTTGGGAAAAAACTCCACATGGTGACTACTGAAACACGCTACTCGCAGTTAGCAAGCCAGATGCTGAAGCCACAATATTTGACGGAAGAAAGGAAATATTTATAGGTGTGTGTACATGAAGACAGACACAAAGCCACACACGCTCACTCACAATCTACTTCCAGAATGGCACGGACAGACTTGGCGAGGTCTCGGGCTTCTGCTGCAAGACCTGTTGTGACAGTAGGTCCAACCCTTCCCAACCGTGCAAGAAGTGCTTTAGCAGACAATGTTGTTCTTCTGTCACTAAGAGAAGAAAATAGGAAGTGTTTATTTGTAAGATTATAAAAGAAATGGTTGCTTTTAATAAAGTAAACTTGTATTTCTAGATTGGCTTTGGTCTCATTGTATGAACAAAAAAGATTCATGCTATCAAACTGATGAGTTTGCCCCGAAGCAGTTCTGTCTGTACAATAAAGGTATCAGGAAAGTTCAATTCAAACAACATCGTTCACGTCTCAAAATCCAGTGTCAAAAACTCCGTGGGTGTCAAAAAAGTAAATTACTTAAAAGTAAATTTCAAATTAACATTTAAGAAGGGACACTGCTTTAGGGGACTCAATACTTCTACACTGTTAGTGAGCCAGTTTGTCACCTTAGCTTCATGTTTAATGCTTCAATCCATTTACTAAAATAAAGTCTACGAATTCTATAAACATGCAACATCACCCCTGTGCAGTGCCAATGAGAACTGCATTTAATTGACTGGGGTTAGCACATGAGAACACAGACACCGACAATATAATAGCTGATGTGATCCTGCAGATTTTTTAAAAATAAAGTTCCAGCTAACTTCACTTAAATAGGTTTGATTTCTTTGAGAGCTCTACTGAAAAATATGGCAGGATAGAGACCAAACCACTTTGCTGTTACATAAATACGAATGGAACACTATTTGGGATATGTAGGTACAATCATGCTGATATTCTGAAGGAACAAAGGCTGCTCTAAATTTTGTTGAATATTCCTAGCTACCTTTTTAAACAAGATAAGTGATAAAACTTGAATGGATATATATATATCATCAATTTATTTATATGCTACTTGATTAATGATAATGTAAAATCACTTGGGTAAATCTAAAAAATAATAAAAAAAATTATAACCCACTATTAATGTTCCTTGCAATTTTAGCTAATCCTTAGCACATTATAATTACTTCATGGAAACATCCAGACAACTATAGCCATGTAATTACTAACTGCTTTAATTTAATTCTGAAGTTTTTAATGAAGCTGTATCCTGAAAGCCTAATTTATAATTCACGCCACTCCCCGCCCCCTCAATAAAATGACATTTGGAAACATACTGCAAAAAATAGAGGAAAAATGGTTACAAGACAGTTTGTGGAGACTTTGAAACAATAGTTGAGTTTTTCAATATTAATATTGCCATTTCAACATTAATAGCTATTTTATTACCTTAAAACTGTCGAGGAAGTGGAGTTATCTGAAAGTATTTCATGCACAACCTGTTGGTCATAGGCAAGAAGTTAACAGTCTATAAATTGACACCGTCAAAAAGTTAATACCTTATAATTTGACATTCTCTTTGAGTGTGGGGGGACTCAATTTGTAATTAAAAAGTCTAGTCTCTCTCAGCCAGAAGTGTAAAAGTAAAAACCAAAATATTATAACCCCTTGAAATTAAATAAATATCGTAATATCGCTTTTTTGTTTTGTAACATTTCCAAATATTATAAAAAATATTATATACTTTTTCTGCCTTTTCTGTCTGGGGAATTTAACTGAAATTTATTTGAGTCTGTGAAAAATTATGTTATAAAATGTTATCTGATCTGTTTTGTTCGCTTAGTGTACAGCAAAGCACAGATTAAGTAAATTCCTACATGGCTCTATCCGTACACTTTTACACCATCTTTACTTCTAGCAACGAAAGGATCTCTGCAAACTAGTTTGTAGCCAGTTTGTTATGTTTATTCCTCAGAAACACCAACACAAAACTTTTCCAAATAAATTGTTGCTCGAAATGATAGGCAAAGTTACCTCTACAAATTGCAGCAATTTTTCAGTAGCCACCTCAAAGGTCTTCCTCGCCGACTCTGATTTCCGCAGCTGGCAGTCAAGCACTGTAACTCTCTTTCTCAAGTCTTGGATGTTATCCTGGGAGAGATATTTTAAGGCTTTTATTCTAATAATTTTCTCCTGTAGCGCACACATATATAAGGGGTGAATTGAAATGGACGCTTGAGACGTTTAACACACACTCTTTTCTATGTTTCTGAAAAACATAGCTGCTCCGGAGGCAGGCATGCCTGACCTGCAGCAAATGAGCTCCCAGACTGCAAGAGATTTTGGCAAATGATATAAAGGTAAACTGACATTGGCAGCTAACAACAGCGATAGGGCTGAAACTTAAGAGAGTTTGAACTGATTGGTGAATGGATCCAAAACACCAACCTGCTGGTGACAGCATCTGTCAGCAGGGCGGCACGAACAGCCAGCATGTGGGCAAACGCGGTCCACCAACTTGCATCTGTACATCCTTCGGCCAAGGGAGTCATGATGGCATATCTCAGAGAAAACTACCCCCTAGGATTTCTCTACATGCACTTGTACAACCTGTCGATCACCGTGTTGCATGCCTTCAGCTGCAGAGAACGCGAGCTCCGTTAGCTCAGGTTCTGGAGGCTCAAGGCTTCAGCGGGAGTCCCTGGCACTGTTCATGAGGGTGGACCACGAGTAAAGTCTTCACATGTATGTTTGTTTAACTAAGCTGTCTGCTGAACAGAAGAACTAGACCAAAATACTCTCCAAAATTAAGAAAATATCACTATAATTAAAAATACATCATTGTAGGTGTTCGTTTCTGAAAGCCCATCTTCCTACTATAAACCCTCTTATAAAAACCCCACTAAAACCCACTCATTATCTTTACTTGAAACAAACAAGTACACACATTTGTTTACATATATAATTATATTTCTTGTTGATTAAACCACCTTTTTTTTGGAGATCTCACTGTACGCTATTGGAGAAGGGGCTGGCGAGCCCTCAGAGGGACCTTGTTCTTTTATATTAAAAAGAGTACGCTATAGAGTTGGCAACTACTTTATACTGCTTATTTTCAGTAAGAAATGCAGAGAATCAAATCTCAACTCAGATTTTCGAGTGCTCACTCAGAATTTCAGAAACTCAAGCTAGCATCTCAAAAACCAAATCCCTAAGAAAGCAACCCACACTCTCTGAATTTCTTAAAATTTGGTATTTATTCAAGTCCTAGGAAACAAACTGCTTAAAAAAATATCCGACATAAAAGATGGGACATCTCACCCAAATGTTCAGAAAGAACAACTTCTAGCGTGTGATTCATCTCATCACACATACTCTCAATTAGAAGAGAGGAATTCCTCCCCGGGAGCTACACGTACTTGCAATGTTGCTTCTTTGCAAGTTTCTGTCCCACAGAGCTCACACACCTCAGAGCTCGGTTTTACCTTTTAATACCTTGTAATATTGAATTAATTGTCAAGATGAAATAAGGCAATATTTCAGTAGGTTTTCTTCATCAGTTCATATGCAGATCCATTTTTCATGAGAAAAACAAGGCAAACACACAAATGCCATCTTGCCTGCACTTGTCCAAACTGCGTGTAGAAAATGGATCTGCAATGATGGGGAAAAAATTGAAGGTGCCTCAAATATTTTATTCCTCAGTGTGTTTTGTAACTCCTCACTGGAGATCTAGTGGTTTTTAAAATATGAGGCTCAATTAAAAAAAAAATAAAATTGGCAGGATACTGTTAGTAGCATTTAAATGATTATCTTGATTAAATCGAAATTTACCTAAGAACAGCACTGAACTTTAGAATTGTTATTATTTTCCTAACAGAGACATATAAACACAAAGGCCATTTTACACAAATATAAAAGCATACAAATATACGTATAGTCTTTAGGGACAACATATCTGCAGTCCAGAATTTATTCCATGCTTTGATGCTTGAGATGTGCCATTGTGACCTATGACCCACATACGCTTCCAGCTCCTATTTTTCCAGCCCAAAGATATCTGGATAAAGGAAGACTCATACACTTCACATTATCCCCTTCACTACACATCATTCCAGTTATTGAATAATACAAGACAAACAGTGACCTACTTTAGAAAAGCAGATGAAAAGAAAATGAAAACAAGATACATGACAACAGCGAGGAAACCATGGTAACTATGGCAGCCGGCTGCTTTGCTTACTTTATTTTGGCCAGAATGATCGGTGAGCTGAGCCTTCAGCTCTCCAATTTCAGCTTCTAACAGGCGAATGACTTCTTCATAGTCCATCTCCATTCCGCGAGCCTGCCTTTGTGCAGCTTCTGCAAGATGAATCCTACTTCGCAGGGCTCTTGCCTCTTCGACAGCTGCCTTGGCTTCCTACAGATGATAGATGTAATGGAAAAGTTACAACTCCAGCTAACAAAGAAGTACGGATTTAGCTCAAAAGTACTGCAGCTGCCATTAGGGCCATCTTCTAGTATCCATGGTTAGATGGTTCAATTGCTAATTTTCAGGTGTATGGTGTTCAAAAAAAAATCAGGTATTAACAGAGAGAGGTAATTTTCCTAATAAATTAAATCATGAATTCTATGATTACCGAACTCTAATTGAATGGAAGACTGTTAAACTGCTCCATCACCTCCATACTAAAAAAGGACTTTAACGAGATGTTATTGCATTTTAATCTTACTGCCTGAATTCACACAATTTAGAGTTCGCACATCATGTAGATGGTCTTCTAATGCAAGCATTCAGTGGACATTGTTCTCAAGCTAAGTCCTGGTTTTTATTTTTCTGCCTAGTTCCTGCTCTTACATTGTTATCCTGTATTATCACTGATGAGTGTTATATAAAATTTATATATAAATAATGTACAGAAAATGGGAAATCAGAAACTGTTAGCTTTTAATTCAGCCAAAATAATCCCTAAATGTTGTAAAATCTGGTTTAGAGAAAGATATTGCTCAGTTCATTCTACTACTGAATATTAATTCAAGTTAACTTAATTTTAATTCTATAATTTCCTAACTTAGAAGTATTTGTTCTGTGCAATCAATATTCTTCAAGTCAGGTTTTCCAATACTTTGTCATAATGTTTTCTCTGTAAAATGATCAACCAATCTCAGTTTCAGCTGACTTTTAACCTGCACACTGTTAGCCATAATAAACAATATATATTTATTTCAGGCCCTAAGTAAACTCATTTCAATGACATATATAGGACACCATATTCCCCATATTGACAATAGTTTTGCAATATAATACCAATTTGGATGATTGCCAGGGACATCCTGGTCTCTTAGAAAATAAAGCATTAGAAGAAGTAATCACACGTGTAGCAAACAGCAACATCATTAGTGCATTCAGATGACATTTGCTGTAGTTTCTGCTATAGGAACACAAGTGATCAGATACATTTCAATAACCTTTAATTTGACAGCAAGTATAATGATTCTTATTTTTTTTTCCTTTTGCACAAAGCATTAGATGAGCCTATTCATCTCCACCTGGAAACACCGACTATTCAAAGGCTTATTGCTGTATCTCTTTCTGTTACAGAGTCAGAGAATGGGTTGGGTTGGAAGGGACCTTAGAGACAAAATATTGAGTCCCACCCCTGTGCCATGGGCAGGGACACCTCCCACTAGCCCAGGTTGCCCAAAGCCTCATCCAGCCTGGCCTTGAACCCCTCCAGGGATGGGGCATCCACAGCTTCTCTGGGCAACCTGGGCCACTGCCTCACCACCCGCACAGGAAAACATTTAATCCTCCGATCTCATCTCAATCTCCCCTCTTTCAGCTTAAAGCCATTACCCCTTGTCCTGTCACTACATGCCCCTGTAAGAAGTCCCTCTCCAGCTTTATGCAGCCAGTTTGTGTTACAGCTGTCTGTTCGCACAGCACTAGAAGCAGTGCGAGGGGCTGGTACTGAAAGCACTCACTGAAGGACCACTGGAGCAATCCATCCTTCCTGCAAGCTGCTCATAGCAGGTCTTTTTCCTAGAAAAAATTCAAAAAACCAAGGGGCTTCTAAGAAGTTATGAATCTATGCAAGTAGAGCTCAAATTTCCTGCCTCTGTAGAGGATGTTTTCTTGCCACTGTAGGACAGTGTGACTCACCAGCAGGAAAAGCTGGGTCCTGCTGACGCAGAGGATGATTTGTTAGTCTCCAGGAGCAAAGGTATCCTTCTGTAATAGGCTGGAGGTGGGAAAAAGGCTCTTGGAGACAGAAGTGGAGAGATGCTCTGGTATTAAGTTTGACTAATATAAATGAACACAGGGGTCTTGACAACGGGCGGTACCTTAAAAATGCACACATAGGAATTACTGAAATAACCGACATTGGAAAAGTCATGGGAAAATTGCTATAATGAAAAGGGAGGTCTTCATTTTGAAATAAAACCTCCTTGAGATAAAGGTTTAATCTCTTATAATCCAGAATTGCCTTTACTCCTCCACTGTTTTTTTCAGAAACCCAATTATTGAATATTAATTTCTCTGTAACAGCAGACTAAGTATGACCAGATTTCAACAGTGAAAGACCTAAAGGAATAATTAAAGAACAATGGATTCTTACATTACAATGGAACGATTATCCACACTACAACTGAATTAGCAAAATTTTCTGACAAACCAGAAACCGTTTGCTAGAGCAGGGAGGCACAAAAGGAAACGATTCCATCAGGTTTCCCAGTTCTACCATTACTGAGGCTGCACTGCGGTGACTGGGTGGGTTCTCTACTTATGCAGGTAAGGGGTCCCCAGCAGTGAAGAACCGATGGATTGCAGCATGCTTCGGCAACATTTTCTCTTGTCCCATTCAACTGCTCGTATGAAGGAAATATGCAACAGAAATGGAATCTGCAGCTGCTAATATTTCATCTATATAAATGCCCGATGGGACCATTTGTCCTGATCTGGTATGAAGCCACTACAGCAAATAAGAAACTGCAGGCTGGAGGAGAGACACCAAATCCTTACAGAATCAATTTCAAGCTACAGGTTTCTTTCAAAGCCAGGTCCTATTTCTTCCTTAGATAAATTCAAATGTCAAGAGAAGATTTTATCCAAGTAATAATCCAGCTACCACAAACACTGGAACAAAATTGTACATCCTTTAAAAAGAACCTTGAGTATCTTTACTATCAAAATAAAAAAGCTAATGAAACAAAAATAAACCAAATACTTCTTTCAGGAAGGGTGAAATAAATGATATACTGCTTCCAAAATAGCAGCTATTCAATTCCTAGTCTTCAAAGCACCTCTCTTCCCCTTAGAAAACAGAAGTACAGAATAGCCGATCTTAGCCCTATGGAATACAAGCCCAGCAGTACGGGATACCACAAACAGTGTCCTATCTCTATGACCTTTCACACCTACTCTGTTTAGCTGAGGTGCTTCAGCTGACGATAGCTGCATAAAAAAAGCTCTAGTAAAGAAGAGGTCATTCTGTTGGTATGACCCAAGACTTTCAGGCAGCACAGAATACAGTCAGACTCATCCAGGAAGATAAAAGACACCATTACAGATTTCACATTCGTGGTGTTGACAAGACTTCAGGCACTCAGAAGAGCCTTTCTATGTTTTATGCTAATCAGCTTCCAAATGATTTCAAGGAAGACCTAAAGATAGCACTGTATCACAATCTCAAAGCAGAAATACATCAATTAATATATTTCAATTGCCATAGACCAATATTAGAAAGGAATTACTACCTCATTTCAAATTCAGCAATATTTCTAATCTGAAGAGCTTGTTTATCCTGTTAGCTACTGATTCAAGCACCACTTAATGAATGGGTACTAGCAAAACATACCCGTTAACCTGAATATTCGTATACCTCTCCCAATTAAGATGTAATCTCTGCAGTTCACAATTAGCAGACAATAAAAATAGCACAAACGATACTCCTATATATGAATGGTAGCCTGTATCTTCAGTTAAAACCTTGTTTCTCCAGGAAAGCAATGATTTTTTAAAAAAAGTTTAAACTGGACTGAATTCAGAAGACCTTAAGCACATACTTAAGTTGGTTTGTTTGTTTACTTTTCATCAGGCATTAGGGCTCAGTGATGTACTCATTGACTCATTCACTAACTTCAGCTTTTAGGAATGCATCATCCTAAGTTAAATGGCAACTTGTACAGTAAATAGCCTATTTTTTTTAAACTTCACATCACCATGAATCTCAGCATCAACATTGGTTCTGAACTCCAGAAATAGTACAAAACACTTGAAAATGCACCAAGTATAAACAGAACTAAAATTTCCATTAAAAGCCTGTTTGTATCTCCTAAAATAGGTCACACAGTACTGTAATTACATATAATTTGTTATTTCTCTTTCACTTCACTATATGGAACCTTTTCAACAGCAGTTACTTAGAACACTTCCTAGCAAATCAGAGTATTTCTCCCCCTGAGGTCTGTACCTCAAGGCTGACCTTCACCATCCCATGATGGTACCGGGCAGAAAAATAAAAGCACGAAGGACCTCAGGTGGTAGAAAATGGGCATTGCTGACATCTAAACCAGACCATCTTAAACCATCTTCATCAAAGTCCACCTTCCCAGTAAGAGCAGGTATGTGAGTGAAAATGCTCAGACGCATTTTGGGGTTTGTACTTTGTACCAGCTTTAGTCTAGACTGATAGACTGACACGTGCTTTAGTCCAGAGCAACAGACTGGAACATACTGCCAGTTAAGTTTTATCCAAAAAGGAATCCAATTTATCTCCCTGTCGTCCCACGGCGTACAGTCAGCAACGTAATGGAAAAAGGTTCCAGGCGGTTCTCTTATATTCAAGGAATAAAAGGTGATAATGAAAGTGCTGAACAAATCTACATGTATGAGCATAAAACATAAACCTAATCTTAACAGTACACGGAAAGATTTTTAACCTGTATCTTGCATTTTATATACGACATCTGATGGAACAAATAGCCATGAGAAGCCTACATGGAATAGGTCTAGCAGCACAGGAGAAAAGAAAGGAAGCCAGCTCCTACAAAGAAAAGAGCTGACAGGATGATGTTCAGCAGAAGCAGGAATCAGGAAAGTTACTTGGTTGTGAATCCAGGCTAGAAATGTCATAAGATTTACAGATAATTGAAAATTTGCTTTCAGAGACACAAGAAGGATAAATTTCGTAAGGAATCGATTTCTTCTCTCATAATTATAGATCGATATGGAGACAGAAACAAGACACTCCTCACAACACGCTTACTACCATTTTTTTCCTGGTAAACATCAGGTAGAATTGTCAAGTGTGTCTATTTTTTCATACTTAAAACTCTGGTTTGACATATAAAGCAGCTAAAGTTAGGAGTGCAGAATAGGTACACCGTTGCCTAAGAACAGCAAAATCACTTCAGGAACATTTAAAACCAGAAAGGTGCTACTACATTATTATCCAGCTTATCTGATCCAGCTTGTCTTATAGTTCCTACCTCAATTCAACAGCAAAGAAGTATTACTGCTCTAAAAACGTAAGGATCAATGTTCTCCAGTTCCCATCAAAAGCTTTGTAGTAACAAAGGAACCACTTTGCGCCGAAACCAGTGTGGAAGTATAGTCTAGATGAGCATCAAGAGAGAAGGAAGTGCTCCCTTCTCCCTTCCACAAAAACCAGTACAAAATGGAGAATAATTATATTTTTAAGAAACTTCAACATACTTGCTTGACAATTTGTAGCTCCTCTGTTAACTTCTTCTGTAAATTCACAGATTCAGACAATTTTTCCTGTTTAAAAAAAAAAAAAGGAAGAAATAATTAATAATTAGGTTTGAAAAAGTTTTTATTCCTAAAACCCAATTAACACTTTCAAAATTATAGGTCGCGATACTTAACTTCTATCAATGTACTTATTGCCTTCTGTACAACTCCTGTGTTTCTAGGCTATGACGTTAGGTCTGTTAATAACGTTGTATAATCAGAAACACACATTTTTAAAAAGTTCTGGTGGAAATAATAATCAACAGCTTTTATAAAACCTGTGACAAAACCAAATTTTAATCTCTAGAAGCTAGTTTTTTGGAGAGTTCATTGATACTGTCTAAGTTTCTTGAGCATCTGAGGACTGGACACTTCTGGAAATACAAATTTTAAGTCTCGTTACCTAGCCACTTAGCAAATGAGGAGAATAAAGACATTTTTTTGTGGCTTTGTGTGCTGTACAACCTAATATTCACATCAAGTTATCTTCAACGCTGTATGTTTGACCATTCTTTCACTTACCTACTTATCCTACAAGCCTGTAGGTACACCACTTTCAGAAGGTTAGAAGTTCTAATGAGTTGTTTTGGTGGTTTTTTTTTTTTTTTTTTAATAGTGCTATAAAAGAATACAGATTCTCATACTGAGTCTGACCAAGGGCATTTTTCACTCAGTATCAAGTATTTGACTGTAGATTGTTAAGGGAAGAGCATAAGAAATGAGGCAATTATAGATTCATCATTGCCAGTTTTTAACATCAGCAATTTAGGGACTCATTACAAGTACTCACTACTTCAATCTTCAAAGTAAATTGGGTTCTTTCAATTTCAGTACAAAGCTTTCAGGAGAAGAATCTTTGTGCACACAATGAAGAACGGATCTGCAGGTATGTCAACCCAATGTTTTTGTAATTTATAGCAAGAAAGAGTTTTCTTGGGACCAGGATGCAATCTGTAGAATTGCCTGCATCCTGGGATCAATTTTCCAGTCCTGACCAAGAACAAGAATGAGGCATGCTAAATACAGAACTAGAATTTTTTATCTTTTGGGTTGTGAAAAAAGAAATTCAAGAGCATAGGACCGTGGTTGTAACCCAGGGTATTAAGAAACAACAAATATTTGTTACTTTAGGTCTTATGTATTTTGTAGTGTCTGTGAAAACACGCATAATTTTGAAAACAGATTAATTTGTCCTCCAGTTCTGACTTCTTTCAAAAGTATTAGCATATGCTCAGACACCGCGGTTACTAGGATCACACATTTCTAAATAAAATTTCAATGCAAATCAGTCACTTCTCCAGATTCACTTTTGTGAAATGTCTGCTTAGTCCCATTTCTCTGGGAATCAGATTTTAAAATGCATTAGTATACAGTATAACAAATAAAATGCACTGTCTCCAGAAATATATTTTAAGTGTACAATATTTAAACATGATTAGGACTGTTTGCTCTGCCTTTTTATTTATTCATCAAAAATGTACATAAAATTCAAATGAAAAACAGTAAATTACTACATACACTCCAAAATAAATTATTCTCTTGAATAATTTCAAGCGAATAAAAATTAAGTGTTACCTTTAATTTACTAATTTCTTTCAAAGCTTCGTTTCTTTCTTTCTTAAGTTCCTCCATGTCATTCTCCAAAGAATCACAGGTTACAAACTGTGTGTATTTCAATACGTAAGGTTAGAACATATAGCTAGCTACATCTTTCATAATCTTTATCTTATCTTAAAAAGTCTTGTTAAGAAAATGAGAGGATAATCTTAATTTTAAAATTATTTAAAGCTCAGAAAGTCCTAAAAATGTTTAAGAAAATTCTAACTTATCTTCCAAAGGAACAATTATTTTCCCTGTTAAAAAGGATTAATAAAAGTATTTTAAGAAGTACCAAGAATACAACACTAATTGCCCCTGTTTTCTTCAATATTTTAAATGATACATACTTTTATTTTAGTATTCCTATGCTGCAAACGCTCTTTCTTAAAGTCACCTCTAGAATAACGTGATTTTCAGTAGTTCCACTCACTGGGCCCAGTAACTGTTTGTCACTCACACAGGTAGTAGCAATACGTATCCCATTAAGAAACCTCAGTAAATCACTGCTGTCCATACTTATAACAAATCACAACATAATTACGTGAATTGCTTTCCGCAAAGTAGGCTGCTTTAAAAAGCTTCGCAGAAACTAGGTTATCTTAAAGAACACCATGCCATGGAGCTGTTCCAAACATCTGCCCGAGATTTGGAATAATCTTACATATAATAAGTTCTCCAGTAATCTCCTCCCAGTAGTTACACCCTGTACACGCGCATATTTTACCTTTGAATCCAGTAAGCTGGCAATTTCATCGACCCCAAATGTTACAGATTTTTGGTCATCATCTGGTGCGTTCAGTTGCACAGAGAACAGATTCCTGGAAACTTCAACGAAATCTAAAAAACAGTTCAGAAGGGCAGTTTCGTAGCAGGATCACTAGATGCAACACAACTACTAATATCACAATGCATGGCTGCCCTTTTAAAAATGCAGCGTCTGCCCTCTATAACCTTCCTAAAGGAAAAAAAAGAAAATCAGACACGTCTGTCTGGACAGAAACATTTGGTAAAGCTGGTAAGAATAAGAACAAAAATGTTCAAAACAGGTCTTGGGATGAAATATCCCTAAACCAAGTTGTGAAGGAGAAAAGAAAACAAAAGGTGGTGTGACGGTCACCTTCAAAGTACCTGGTTAGAGATGCTCTACATTTAGCAGACCTCTTGTGAAAAATTAAAAGAAATCTGCACACCTGTTATACACCCACCAATGAGTTGACCTTACTAAAGGAGACACAGTTTCTCTGCAGGAAAAGGGGAAAATTTCGTCCTAGCTCAGACCTCATACTTCCCTTTGCCGGTCCTTTAAAACCCTGATAGAGACTTCGTAAAATTGACATTGACCAAGTTGAAAGTTTTAAATACTAACACAGCATTCTCAGTCAACACGGCTTGGATTACCCACTCATTTTGAATGGATTTCCACAAAAAAGTGGAAATAGAAAGGTCAATTTGTTTACATTACATAAAATCTGATGGAAGTTTTAGTATCTTTCTTGATAAGGTACTTGAAAATCCAATGTCTTTTTGGATGGATAAGTACAAGAAATTATTTTTCATATCCTAGTGTTTGACGCTGTTTTTCATAAACTTTAGGAAAAGTGAAATTTCCACGAGTTTTGGCATCAGAACTATCGTATGTCTCATAGTTTATGAGAAATATTCTTAAATTGTCAGTGTCACCTACCAAAATTGTCATAACCAGAAGAAGCAACTCATTCCCATCAGAACTAGGTTTAGCTAGAGGAACCACGATGGTCTACATGCAAATCTCTTTCTGTATGCAACAGTTGAAACGTTCTTACTTCTCACAAACTAAGTTAAATAATCCATCAGTTTAGCTGCTTCAAGAAGTCTCTTTAACTACCAATAGTCTCCCAAGTAATTTTTGGAACCACTACAGTATCCTACTGTCAAGGCAAAAATTTAGGAATTTTTAAGCACAAAATCAAAACTTCCTCAAAGCGGCTCTTAATTAGATAAATTTGTGATTTGCTTTCCAGTTGATTAGTTTCAGAATTCCACGCGTAGTTTTATACAGTAGAAGCTTCTTGCATCAAAGTATTGTTTTATTTGCAGCAGCAACCCAGTGCTGACAGGAAATACATTAATGGTTAGCATCTATCATTTCTATATTCCTACACTTCATTATTTTCCCTGGTAATTAACAAATTATTACCTCCAAAAGACACTGTTCCATTAGAATCTTTCTGAAGTTGCTGCCTTAGGGCTTGCTGCTGTTCATTTGTGGGCCGAATCCCAAGATAATTTAATGCCTGGAAGGAGAAAACTTATTTTGGAGAAAAAAAAAAAAAAAAAAGAAAGGACAAGGGGTAATGACTGCAGGGACAGGGGGGAGTAATTAAAGAGCTATACTTCAAAGAGCCTTTGTATCACAGTACATTCTCACTGACAAGACTTTTATTCCAGAGACACTCTGTGACTTTTCCTTCTAATTGAGAGACGTTCAGATATTATTTAACCTTGAATACCTTTGTCCTTAAAAATCCTGAGGGATGTTCAGATTCCCAGAAGAGTTAATCAGTAATTAGATTAACAAAACCAGTAATTTGCCCAATATAGAAGACGAAATATTGGCCTGCAACCTGAAAGAACTATCCAAATAGTAAATTTGGTGTATGATCTATACCTTAAAGTTTGTCAGCCTAGAAATACGCTCCAGATGTTTTACATGCATCATGACGGGGGAGAAAGGAAAACCCAAAAGATTGTAAGTATTTACCTTCTCCAGCTTTTCTGCTTTGAGCCGAATAGCAGAGTTCCTTCTTTGCAGCTCATAATCATCAGTCTGGCTGGGGGCAATAACTAAGAAGAAAAAAAAAATATTAAATTAAATAACGATACAGATGTAACTATTGCTTTGAAAAATTTGTTCTGCTTACCAAAGGGATGCCAGCTAAATACCCACTTCCCACAAATAAATGTTAATATTTAGATAGGCGTTTTTTTTAAAGTATATAATTGTAATAAACAAAAATTATGGGCATCAATCACCCAAACTATTTTTTCACATCAAAAAGTGACAAGTAGCAAATTAGCAGAGAGAGAAACCAGGAATAACCTGCAGCGATTCATCAAGCATATGGCTTGTACTGGTGGTATTTTCTCTTCTCTGAGAGTTACTCGGGAAACAGAAGGGAAGCACACTTGCGAATTCTGAGAAAGACCTTCAAGGCACACCCTTAGCATAATCCACAGTTCCCAAAAGCATACCAGGTGAGCTGGAAAACACTGTGGAAAGAGAGGGAATGACCTGTTGCCAACTAAGGGCTGTGTGAAGGCAGTTTAGACTGAATTCCAGCAGGATCCTCCATATTTTTCCCTGGTGAGGAACTCTTTTCCAAGAACTACCATCCATTAAAGCCATCATCCACCATCCCCTCCTCTCCACTCCTTATAGTCAGAAATACAACAACTTTGCACAACTCTAGCTAGTTGCATTAGTAACTTGTGGTGCATCTTTTTTTATTTCCAGCATACACAGATGATTAAGCTGAGCAGAGAAGACGCTAGCGGTCCTAAGCAGCCCACATGCAAGATTTCAGC